CACTCCCGCATTTGCCCATATTTACCCAATACATATATTGAAAGCAATACTTGATCATGATCCACCTAAAGAAGGTGGGTGCCAAGGTACACTAGTTCATTGGAAGGGAAATCGGAGAGCGGAGGACAATGTGGTTTGATACCGGAGGAGCCTACAGGATGAGTGACCCCGGCTTACCATAGTGGTACAAGAGCTCTACAGATGATTACTCGACGGGGTCGAGTTTTCTCCCGCACCCTGGGGAGGAATTGATGAGTCGACATGTCATCGATTTCGACACGTGTACCATCGGAGACGCCGGATTGATCGTGCCAAATCAGGAGTTTTATTTTGAGTCTTTTTTTATGTAATAGTTTATTTTATTTTTCAGTTTTTCCGTTTTGCCCTAATGGGTATTTGGTCCGCTATTGTAACCCAGGGGCATTTTAGTCTTTTATTTTTTCTTTGTCATTTTGAGGCCTATAATATGGTCATTTTCTTATGTAGGATGATGATGAATTATTGATAATGAAATTTCTTTATGTTCTTGTTGATCTCTTAGTGAGTTCATGTGATCTCTTAGTGAGTTCATGAGAGAGAAGCCTGAGGAGGGTAATTTGCAATACCCGTCAATCTTTGGAAGAGTCGAGGTTCACGGTTCTTAACGATTCTCTTTGTGAGTTTCGTTAATTATCTCTATCTTTCTCGTATATTCTTGTTCATTCTCCTTTCTCCCCTCTTCATCCACCCAATCTTCCCCTAGCTCCACCTCCCCAAGCCGACGACCATCAACCACCCGATCGCCGGCTCCTCCCCACGGCCTTCCCCCACCCGATCGGCGGCATCTCCTCCCTCCTTTGGACCGCCGGCCTCATTCCCACCTCTCCGTCTCCTTGAAATTTCCTAATTTTGGGGTGCATGATACTAGGAATTAATTTGAAATTTCAAGTTGTTTGAAATTTGAAATTCAAATTTCCTTCCTAATTTATTGCATGCTATTTGAATTTCAAATTCAAAATTCAAATTGGCATTATGAATTAAATGCCATGAATTCCACTTAAGTTCAGCCTAGCCGAAATTATTTCCTAATCTAATCTCTCACTAGGAAATAATTTGAAATCGCCATAATTTCCCTGAGCCGGATTTTCCTTCATACCTGGCTTTTTAGTTGTTTCCTAATACTAGAGCTGGAATTCAGGAACCAAAGAGCATTAAATAATTATCTCACGTTAGCAGGCATTAATGCTTTGCATTAACCCCTTTTCCCATTACTGCTAGCCGAATCCTCTCAAGGGAATTCAATTTCTTTCCTTACCAGTTCTCTGCACCGCCCCCTCTCAATTTTGAAAATCAAATATCAATTCCCTCCTCCCGTGAAGCGTAATTTCCTAACAGCCAAAGTAATTCTTTGGAAATATTTTTTCAAAAGCTGAGGTTCCTCTGGCCGAAACCTCTACCCATGCATCCCCCTCATTAAACTCTTCCAAACTCATTATTCTTAATTGGAAATCCGTCATTACCCTGTTCTCACTTGCTGGCCGAAATTTCCAGCCACCGTCCTTGCTTCCCCACCCTAACAGAAGCCTCAAACGGCTGCTGCCTGGAAATTCCAGCGAATATCTTGGCTGTCCCAATGTCAAACCCGTCCCGGAAGCTCGATCTAACGAGGGCAGGTACGAAAAGTCGGAGATATGTACATTTCCAAAGTATAAAAAAACCATCATTCAAATTTTTCTAATAAACTGACGATGCCACTAAACACTAAAAATCTATTTACTCCTGTTGTATTTGCATCTTCGTCTTCTGTATTCTTCCCCCCCCTTCCTTTTATTTCTTACTGTAATTAAGAAATCAATTAGGTAAGATTTAATCCCTTTTTCTCCCCCTTGCTGGCAGAAATTTCCCACGGTTCTATTACATAATTTGATTTGGAAAGAATCTCCCTAGCATCAATTCATTGCCGCCACCCACCCCCCCTTGCTCCACCGCCATCTTCCTCTCCCCTTCTTGCCCGAGAAAGTTCCCCAAGTCTTGGTTCCAGTTAACAATTCCTACTATTTGGAACCTGAGAATTTTCTCAGGTTTTGAATAAAAACCTGAAGAAAATTTTCAGATTTTGTGAGCTGGCATAAATCCAGATTTATTTCAGTTTTTGCAGGGAACAATTTTAGATTTTGGAGAGGAGATCCTCTCCGTAGCAAAGCCGGCGTTCCGTCGTGACGTCATCATAGAGATCGACGCCACCATTGAAGATTACGTGGATCGGATACTAGTTTCCCTATCAACCGCCATCGACGAATACTACCGTCCATCCGAGTGGCCACGCTTGCACTGATCATCAACCCCTCGAGCTCTGAATAGCTTTCCCGTGGACAATATTGTAAGCTCCCTCTTCATCGTGGTGATCACATTCGTGTGCTAATATCTTTCTTCCGTTAACCGCAAGAGAGCTTGAGTGAGGGAAACTCAAGGTGACTTTTCTAAATATTAACCTGCGGATTATTGTTAAAGTGCATTCGTCATTACTCGCATGTTTGTTATTGTTTTAAATTGTTGTGCCTAATGAGCTTGTAACAATGCCTAAGCAATTTTGCAACTGAGATTTCATTAAATCATTAATGTGACTCGTTAATCTTTATATCGACTTGCTTACTCCGTTGTCTTATTATGTCTCCATGCAATTCTTGATTGGTTTCACATCAGATGTTGAAGACGTTGCTCGAGGGTCAACCCAAAACGATGTCTTCGGAGGCGAGGGAAGCCGCCAACAACCAAGGAAGTAGAGAAAACCCTAATCCGATAATGCGAAGGGAAGATAGAATGTCTTCCCTATAGCCTATTGTTAGAGTGGAGTGGGGTAAAGGGAATAGGGAGAGGCTTGAAGAGTTGGGCATGAACGAAGGGGTGCTAAATTTGAGAAAAGAGGAGCGGAATTTGGAAGGGGCTAATTATGATCGAATGGGTGCTGAATTTGAAATGAGATGCGCTGATTATGATCAAATGGGTGCTAAATTTGAAAGAAGTGGGGCTGATTATGATACAGGAGGCGGGCAAGATCCGCCTCAAACCTTCGCCATCCTTTTTCGGTGGGGTCAAGCAGCAATTAGAGAGTAAGTTATGAGGGATTATGAGGGAAAATTCAAAAGAGGGGCTGTTTTGGTATTTGCATGATTTTGTATGCTTTAAGTAGGTTATTTTCCTAGGACTAGGGTTAGGTATGTGCTTGCTGAAATTAAAATTTTCTAAGGAGTTTGGGCTCTAACCAATGGCTAGAGATTTGGGAGAGACAGATCTTCCTCTCGAATTGAACATCCATTGTATCTTGTTCGTTTTCTTCCATATATCATCAATTAAAAAGATTTTCTCCTAGTTTTTCACATCTTTCTTCTCAATTATTGTTTGAACTTTGCTGAAATTAATTTCGGCCAAAGTTTTCTTCTATTTCTACAAGCTATACCTATCACACTCTCATTTCCTCCCATATCCACTACTATTTCTCTCATCTGAATCCATTCCAACATTTCTCTCGCATAACTACTGGCCTCTCTTCCTCTCTCCCCCTCTCATTCGCCCTCTGTTGCTAACACCACCAAGGCACAAAATCCACCCGCCTGAGCTCCTCCCTACTATTGTTCATGCAAAGAGCCGCTCCCAGCCAGCCTCTCTACACTCCAAAGGCTAAACCAACCCCTCTTAAACCATCACACAGCTCATCTCTTCACTACCAAACCACTACAGAGCCCTCTCCATCCCTGCTTTTCATGAAGTCCAACCCTCAACACACTACCCGAGCACCTACACTCAACTCTAATACTACACTATTCCACTCTCTTGACCTCCTACAACCAGAATCAAAAGCCTCCCTGCCATTTGAACTCCACAGCCCCCTGATTCTGTTTAGCAGGGGATGAAATCAAGAATAACTTTAACTTACAAAGAGCAAATATCCAGTAAAGAATATCACTCATATTCATTTTCAAATAATTTCATGTCAGGAAGGACGTGATAGTTGTCCTCTAACCTGTGGCTTGACCAGATGACTCCACAAAACCCGTAGCTTGGCCAGACGACTCTACGTGGTATAGTTATGACCAGTCCTCTAAATGGTGGTATGGCCAACGGCTCCACAAATAACCCATGGCTTGGTCAGGACGGCTTAATGTGATAAACGATTATGACCGTGACACTGACATAGTGGCTTGGTCGAACGACTACACTGTATTATGGTCATGACTAAAGGCGTGTATGTTCCTCAATGGCTACTTACAATTAATCAATGAATTATAGGATATAATTGTGTTGACCTGTGTAACGAAAAAAAAAAAAAATTTAATCGCTTACCTTCTCTCTGCTGAAGCCATCCCGCACGTCCGCACATCGTTTGCACGCCACGCCGATGTCGCTTCTTCGCACGACCCGCTAGCATCGATAAAAAGGAAACGGAACGAGGCCTTCGGCCTCCGCTCTCTTCGATCTCTCTCCCTCTCGCTCTTCTTCGCTACCCCGCTTCCTCTCTCGTGGCTGCTCGACCTTGCTTCAACGACGACTTTCCCTTCCAGTCGGTCGGAAGTTACGATACTTCCGATCGAAAGCAAGAACGGGGCATTGTTCAATTATAATTAACATGAATTAATTATAATTAATTAGAAATCATTTTTAATTAATTATTCATAATTAATTATAATTAATAAAAATAATTATAATTAATTATGTTGATTAATGATATTAATTATAGTTAATTATAATTGATTGTAAATAAATATAGTTAATTAAATATGATTATAATTATAATTAATTACAATTAACTAATATTAATTATAATTAGTTATAATAAATAAAAAAATCCCTCTCTTACGTCGGCGTTCGTGTCGAGCCGGCAAATCACCCATACACGCTTTTCTCTAGCGTGCTGGAAGGGAACCCGGTGCGACATCTACGACGAGATAGGTGAGCGACCCTTGACCCAAAATCCTATCCTCGATGTGTGTGACGAGCCGGTCAACCACTTATACACGCTTTTCTTAGCGTGGTAGGAGGGAATCCGGTGCGACGCATGCGATGAGGAAGGTAAGCCTGGTGCACGTTTTTCTTAGCGTGGCTAGGACAACTCTTAAGTACTCGTACGTGGCTCTGTACCTACGGGAAAACAACAACAGGTACTTGTAGAAGAACCATACACGCTTTTCTTAGTATGATCGGGACAAAGATTTTACGGTCGCGATGTCCTCATACGAGGGCACCTACCGTACATGCTTTTCTCTAGCGTGGCGGGAGGCCTAGTTTTCCCAAAAACAGGGAAGACGCCACGAGGCTGCCGAAATTTCGGGTGAATATATTAACTGCACTCGGACCTGACTTGGACTCAAAAGAACAAGGACTTGGACATCGAATTTGAACATTGAATGGGTTAAACTCAAAGTTGAATAAATGAACAAAATCTGAATCAAACTTGATTAAAAAGAGCTTGAACTTTCTACTTGAACAAAAAAGTGAACTTGAACTTGTACTCTGGACTCGAGTTGAACACTAATGGCTTGAACAATTTAAACTCAAGCGAGTACTTGAGTTGGACTGTAGGGGGCGTAGAACTTGATCTTGATACTTGAACTCAAGCAATGACTTATGAAAGTGGACTTAAATAAACATGCTTTGGAAAATCAAAATAATGATCACAATGGAAATAAAAAAGTGTTTACTAATAATCTTGAGCATCCAAACAAACAACAATGAACTAATCTTGGGCTCAGACATGCATACAATAACATAATCATATACAATGGAATAGACTCAAACAATATACAAGGATTTGTGCCAAGACTTGTAAATCCAAACTTTACTTGAACACATGGACTTAAATCAAACTCAAACAACAAAGGACTTGTCACATTAAACGTAGCTCATCTACAAGCAATAAAACAATTCAACACTCAACGAGCTAGCAATGAAGGTGTATTCAAAGAGTCCGAAGCAAATGCAGTCTTCGTACAATCAATATCATTTAATTGTAAGTGAGTACCCCGCTCTCCTACAAGTAAAGATGTACGACGAATGTGATGATTCGTTGGTTAATATGTGTGAAGGAGGAATACAAGAAAATGCAAGAAGATCTATTGTAGATGCGAATACTTGTTGGCGGTGAAGGAAGATTTGCCACAATCACAATGAGCTTATGAGTGTTAATCATCAACAAGCAATGGATGTTATGTAAAACCCGCAAAATGTCATTTTAGGCTTCGCACGCTTTTAGATGCATCGCAACTAGTTTTAAGTGAAAATTTCAAAGACGTCGGAATTCGACGTAATAAATTTTATAAAATAGTACGCAAAATTCTGAGCGAAATAACGTATAGAACCCATATCGAATTTTATGTATTTTTGGAGTTAAAATTCCCGGAAAGTTCTTTATGACAACTTTGCCCTTGGTGTCATTTGAATAGAGAAGAGTTTAAGTAAGGGCTTTTAGGTAATTAGGCCTTTTATGAGAGGGTTCCACTCTAAATAGGGGACCGAATGTTTCGGTCCCCATTTCATTCTTGCGACCGAACCAAGCGGAGAAGGAGAAGGAGGCGCGGGTAGGAGCGGCGACGGGAAGCTTCGAGCGGCGGTTTCTGGCGGCCGTTCGTGGAGGAAATCGTAGGGAAATCTAAGGGAAGGCTAAGGTAAGCGGATTGCAAGAGTTTTATTTCCTTTTCCTTGAGTTTTCTCTAAGGAATGAAGTTAGGGTTTTGAGAAAAAATTAAGTTTTCTTCGAGATAAATTTAAGGAAAGGTAAGGAGATGTTTTTAAACCTATGAATGAGTTGTTTTCATGAAAATATGAATTTTAAAAATTATGGTTTCACTCAAAGTTGTTTTTTTTTTTTTTCACAAGAGTAGTTCCTAATAACATAAGAGATTCTCTAATTGAAAAATAATGCAATGTTGATGAAAATTTTAATTTTTGAAATTTAGCGTTTTTCTCTAATCATAGAATTTTTTAGCCTTATGGTTCCAAAAGATTTTTGGAAGGAATTTAGAGACAAATTTAGGGCTTTTATATGAAATGCAAGTTTTTTTAAATTTTAGTTTAATTTAATCCGAAAATTAATTTTATTTTAATTATATTTTGAATGGAGAAAGAGATGTTGCATGCATAAAATCTAAGATTTTGACTAAATCCTAATTGAGAGAGAATGGGAATGAGAGATTTCATGAAATAGTGGGAGGGGTTTAATTTGAAAACATAGACATGACTTAAAGTTGAGCTCTTTATTATCATATATTAAGATTTTAGGAAGTTATGTGGGGACTAGTTATACTTACACA